TCCACCACACCATCAGCTGCTCCGCTCTGGTGATGTTTGTTTTTTAAGTAAAGACCACCCTCAGGTCCCCTTGGTGTTGACATCAAGTCAGCTTCTTTGCAACAGCTGTGGTCAGTAAATCCCCACATTATGCCCTAAGCTTCATGGGCACATCGCTCTGGCCCATCTCCTCTGAGCCTTCTTCCATGGTAGGGGTTTACCTGTCAGTCACAAGGGACACACACAGAACAAATAAATTGGTCTTTTGGTGTTTGGGTGCTTTATATTGGTATATGGGTTGGTATCTCCTTACCGTGATTTTGATGCTTTTATGGCTCCCTTGTTATATCAGAGGTTACATTTCTGAACATCTGTTCCCAAGCTGATGTGCAGCACTACTGTAGCCAAAGAAGGCAGGAAACAAGAGGAAAAAGGTAGGATTAGTTCTTTAATTCATAGAGAAGGACGTACTTAGGTCCTTTTTGTATTTCTCTGTTGAAAATTGCAAACATATGGAGTGAGTACAACTGGTTTTAGCAATATGGTTTAATTAGTCTGGTACCAGGCTGAGGGAAAGAAAAATGTGGATCAGACTTAGTGATGAGGATCACCGTTCACAGTGGCAGGGAAAAATGCTGAGTATAAGAGTAATTGTACTGCTTTGCAGTGCTTTCACCTTAACCTATCATGTTTTCAGCACCCTCCTTCATTGCCCTTTGCATCTTTCTCTTGTGTTCATGGCCTCAGAACACTTCCAGCAATATGTACTACAGACATGTCAGTAGTCCCCTGCTTCCTTGGCACTCAGTTCATATTACTATCCCATCCACTTTTGTATTCTTTTCCTGGCAAAATTCTTGAGAAACCTGACTGCCAGCAAATATTATTTTTAATTTACCTGCATAGAATATTTCACAAAACCCAGAACCAAAAGCAGTTTTTAAAGCACCATGCAAAATATACATCATTAAATCATGTCTACAGCATTGCATGAGATGTCTGTAGGAGCAGGTATAATGGGGAAGAGATTGCAGTCATGAAGGAGGCTGGAAGAGAGGTCAGGAGGTTGCTTTTCCTAAGCTTGTCCTTATTTTTTTTTGATTATTGTATCTGTTAAAACTTAGCTGTACAGTGGTTTGCGTTTTCAAGATAGCATGCTATGCACAGTTTGCGATATTATTAATAATATATAATAGTAAGTAATAATTGTTATTATATATTTAATATATAAAAACTTGTCAGGATAGTATTGGGTATAAAATGTGGTGTATGTATGTTTCAGTAAACTACCTGCTGTTGTCCTTGCAGAAGATTTCATGGAAACTGTAGCTTCTAAAAGTTAAGATAGCTGATGCCTTTTTTATTAATACTATGCATCTAATTTCTTTTCTGAAAGAATTCTTATTTCCTTGGATGATGGTAGAGAAGCAAATTGGTTAACTTGTCTGATCCCTTTTCAATCTTTGCTCTCGCTTGTGTTGACGTTGCCTGTCCTGTTGGACAGTTTGGGTGCATCAGCATCACACAGTGGGATTTTTCCTGTTGGAATTCAATACTAGCTGTATTGGGTCAGTCTGAAGTTTATGAACAATACAGGCTTTGTCAATGAACTGTTTTCTCTGTATGAAGTAGTTCTCTGTAGGAGCTGTTGCTTAAAGGTTCAGACTGGTACCTTGTACAAACAGAAATCTTTGTGGTGTCTGCGTTAATTTTTACGAACTACTGAGGTTTTGATCTGTTTCATAATCTTATGTCATTAAGAGGCAGACCACATGGAACTATAAATGTCTGTTATGAATGTTAGTGATAGTAACTCTACCTTGTCTATCACTGTTTGCTGAGGGCAGAAAAAAGCAGTATGCCATATGGCTAGCTGCATTGTCCTCTCTCTTTCTGAGTTGTCATATCCCATAGTGATTCAATGCTGTAGAGTCGTGACTGTCATACTGCCTTCCGGTTGAGATTTTTAAAGGGAATCTTTCTAACTTTAATAGTTTGGATTATTAAGTTTGAATTCCAAATGTGAGCTTTTTTTTTTTTTCCCAGAATGCCTTTTTTTGTCAACTGTAGCTCTTTGCTCAGGTGTTTCCTTGTTTGTGTTACAGCAACATCCAAAGATCCAGTTCCCACCCTGCTGTGTGCTATACAAACACACTGGGAAGCATGGTCTGTGGGAACTCTCACACCTTAAGGGAAGATGCAGCAATACTTTGTAACACCTTTTTTAATGAATTGGGGACGAGAGCTTAGCTCTGCCAAGAATATACAGCTACACTAGCTGTGTTAACCTTATAATGTATTGCAGCAGTAGCTGGAGGCACCCCTTGCATAGGACTTACTGCTGTGTGCACTGAGTAGATACATGAAACCGGAGGGTATCCCAAGCAGCCCTCCTCTGTATATGATAACTTCCTTTTGTCTAGTCTGCCCTTTCAAGTAACTTTCTTTTTTTTTTTTTTTTTGATTGTTTTATTAGTACTGGGAAACTGGACTGGTCCAATTTATGAAAGGAAAGGGTAATTTTGGATAGTAAAGGATGCAACAAACTTTCCTTGTAATTAGTAAGGAAATCACTTGGTTACTTGGAGAAGAGAGACCCTATATTGAACGGGGAGGCTGATGTAACTCACATATTGGATACCTTTGTTTGGCAGGAGCTGCCAGGCCAGGCAACAGCGTTGCTATAAAACTAGACACAATTCATGCTGTTTCTTACCCAGTTTGGTGTGTGCTAGGGGACGTGAAGAAGAGCTGAGCCGACTGCAGTGTGGGAAGAGGACAAAGACAAATCCATAGGAAGTCCGCCTCATTAGTTCCACTGTTTAGGAACAAGTTGTTTTTTACTGAGATTTTTAAATTAACGGTGTCCTTTTATATTACCATGCCATGTGTATGGACATTATTGGTCTGGTATTTAATTAAAACCACAGCTGGCGATCATTTAATTATAGTGTACAGAAGGGAATGCTACTTACTTGACTATGTAGCATTGTTTTATTCAATTTAGAGAATTGTAGCCATTTTTTCATATGTTATTTGAAAGCTGTGGTGAAGGGTGCAAGATCTGATAAACAAACTGGTGAGCTTCATTGCAACACTTCCCCTCTGTTAAGGGAATAAGGTGAAACAGTGGCTTGTAAATTCACCAGCTTTCCTGAAAATTGGAAGTCAATTATGAACAGATTGGTACAATTAGGCTGGTTCTTGTTTCTCCACACTGTAAAATCAGTGCAGTTTCCTGTGGTAGAAAGGAAGGCCTTCTGCTGAAGGCCAAGAATAGTTAAAGATATTCAGGGTGTTTCTGGGTTTATTAAGAGATTTCAGCGTACATACTTGAAAGAAGCTGTGTAGCATATGCCCGCAGCAGGCCTGAATTACTGTTTTTTCACTTGAGAAATGAGGCTGCCTCAAGAATCTTAAACCTACTGCAACATAGAATTGTGTACGTGTATATTTGTACTGAAATGAATAACTTCATGTGTGTAAGACATTTTTGTAGCTGACATAATAAATGCTTTCAACTGAACTCACAAATGAGGATGTCCACAGCTTCTAGCATAACTAGTTACACTGCACTTAAAACTGCAGAATTCACATCCAAAAATCTTCATAAAATTGTTTTCTATCTTGAAGCCAGAGGTGACTTTTTCTGTAACAATGGGAATACTGTAAGTGAAGGAGCTGTTGCCAAATGATCTAGTCTCTTTTCTGTCATACAGCTACTTTCACATGTCAGTACGTGAAAAAACCTATGGTTTTGCTGGCTTCCAGTACTGTAAAGGTAAAACTGATATCAAAAGAGGACTCATTAGCAGATTGACTGGAAATGGAAGAAGAAAAATAAGTTAAAAGTGACCCGCCCAGTAAAATGTCAGAGTGAATGACTGAAACTGGCTGGAAGACTAGAAACAGGGTTTGTGTTTCAGTCTGAATCTTGGCAGCAAAGCAATGTTTGCTGTGTTACTTGGTCTGGTGTGAAAGGTCACTTTTGTTTTCTCACCCGGTAAAACTTGGAGTTGCTTCTTGACTACTACAAAGAAAGACTTCAGTATTAGTGGCTAGTTTTCTTCCTGGACTTCTTGGTTGTAGTTGTCAATATGGAGTGCTGAATTCTAGCTGATGCCTTCGGTGTAACGATGAATGGGGTATTTAAGGACAGGAAGAGCATGTGAATGGGTTACAAGTATAGGATTCTTTTAAGAATTGTTCTTGATTTCTGAATTATGTAGCTAACATAATTTAGATTATGTTAGTTATCCTAGTCTGCTATATATTTCCACGTGCTATCAGTTAAATGTAGAACATCTCTTTCATCAAAAGGATCTACTGCAGAAAGAAAAACAGTTCAGGTTCTTCATATGGGGCTTCAGTAGATTAGAATCACTGAAACGCACTGACGTGGGACCAAGGAGAACAACTACAGAGCAGTAGCTCAAAGTGGAGTAAGCTTCAGTTGCAAAATAAAACCAAATCCTATGCATGGAGTTATTCCCTTCACCAAACTGATAACCTCTATATGTCTGAAGGCATCAAAACATGATACACCTTCTTTTATAATACAAATCTGAGTCAGCATTTAATGTAAGGTTTTATAACACAGGATTCAAGCTATTTCCTGTTAAACTAACGTTAGAACTAATCTACATATTTCCAGCTGAATTACACTTCGTCGTATTTATCCTTATAATGTGTTTTGTGATGAAGGAATGTGTGGTCTGTCTGGAGAGGAGAATTCCATGTAAAAAGTATTTAGTAGCATATGGATTTCTTTTAGGCTTCTGTTATACTAAAGTTCATTAACTACTGCAGAAATCCACAGATATTGTAGCTGCTGTATAATACTATATCTTCTTTCAAATGCTACTGCTACATGGCTTGTGAATTGGTTAATTTGTTTCTTTCCTTTTGTCTTCTAGCTTCATTTAGCAGCCCTGGCTTCATTAAAGGGAGACATAGTGGAGCTTAATAAACGTCTACAACAAACAGAAAGGGAGCGTGACCTGTTGGAAAAGAAATTGGCAAAAGCACAGGTGAGCAATAGTTCAAGATTCTGAAGATGATCTTTGGTTTTGTGTTGTCCTTGTTCTTCAGAGAGGAATATGGTATGTGGGGAGAGGATAAAATATCTGAACAATGTCACAAGTGAAAAGAATTTTAAGACTGCAAGAAACATAGTTGCCCTGGGTTTTAAGTTTTATGTGCTGATGACATTCTTCTAAAAAATACTGAGAAAGAATTAGATTAGTTTTGTTTTCAAGCCAATATACGCAGCGACTGCTTTGAAATATTTTAGAATATAAAAATTGCAGCATACTCTCAGTGGATTAGGTAACTGATTGCAGAGCCTTCCACTCCTGGGTCGGATTCAAACACAGCACAAATTAACACTGATCAAAAGCTATTGCCAACTGGCAGTGCTTTGGTGGTATGTGAGAAATGATTTGTGATCTCAGTCTAGCTTCTAGCAAGCCAGTTTGTATGTATCTGCTGTGGAATACAGTGTCAGTGGAAAGCCAAGAGATTAAATAAGAATAATGACCTCTAATGCTTTCACAGCTCTTCAAAACTAAATTTTTTTTCAGATCAAGATAAATGTAGAGAGGCAAATGCAAACAGGGAAAACTGAACTGTTGTTCTTAATATTTCCCTCTTCTGTAAATGAAACCTTTGTTTTCAGATACTGTCATTCTGGCAAATACCTTTTATAAGTACTTTACATTTCAAAACTAATTCAAAATACTTGCTCATTTATATTTGCCTAGAGACGGCCAAAGCATTTTGTCCCGTAAAGTAGAGCATCTTATTTGTTGCCCAGAGAGACTGTGGAGTCTCCAACCTTGGAAGTACTCAAGCCACCTGTACCTGGTCTTGGGCAACCTGCTCTAGGTGACCATCCTTGAGTTGGGTAAGGGGTTGGATAACGACCTCCAGAGGTCCCTGTCAGCCTCAGCCATTCTGTGATTTTGTGAATTTAGAGTCTTCAGTATTTACTGCACTTTGGTAGGGGCTTGTATCTGTGTGTTGCTTAAACTCAAGCCAAATGTAGAAATGTTTAAGCAGCCTAGATTTTAAGGCTCTTACTTCAGTCCTCCAACCATATTTTGGCCCTTGTCTGCATTCCCTGATGTTTTTTCAGCTACCTTTAAGGTTTTGGGCCTTGTAAGTTATACTCTTATGGCAGACCATCAATGCAACATCCAGAAGTAAAAAACACTTTAATGTTTTTATTCCCCTAGATATGTGAGCCATACCCATGCTGGGAGTTAACACTGTTTATCAGCTATAATCCTGAGAGCCTTTTCTAATTTCTACTGCACTCTGAGGTGGAGTCCGCTTTCTGACATACAGTTTGATATGAGACTGCATTTGACAATCATTGAACAGTCGGATGGATCCACTGTATCCAAACGATCCACATCATTCTGCATGACTACACTGACTTTGTTGTTATTTATAATTCTGCAAGGTCTTATGGTAACCACAGGTTTTTGTTAGTGTTTTAGTTTTATTTCCAGATCTTTGTTTAAAAATACATATGTCATCTCTCAGCCAATGGAGAGTGCCTTGTAGGTGCTTCCATACGGTAATGAATCCCCATTGATGGTGACTGGGATTAAGGATCAGTCCTTAATAGCAATTCACATGTGCTCAGTTAGCACGAGATCAGTTCGTGTTTTCTTTGATGGGTTACCAATTATGCATGTGTATGTCGTGTATGATTTGTATTGCTGAGGGTTTTTACATGGTCTCGGGCTGTGTGTGTGTGTGAAGACAAGCGTAGTGATGATTGCTACCTGAATTGAGAATAACACAAAATCAGAATATCTGAAAGCTAGCATGCTTTTTAATGAACAATTTCTGTAAAGTTTTAATGTTTTAGCTCTTCTTAATTTTTTTTTTTAAAAAGCCCTCAAGTGGATAGAAATTTTTGGGCGTGTGTATTAAATAAAATACAATCTTTCTTAAAGAGTAAGCCATTAAACAAGCACAACTCGTATATTCAATGTGTTGGCTATGTTTAAGTACTGAGATAGAAAAAGAAGAAAAGGTAAAGTGGTTTCAACAGAGTTTAACTGCATCACTTCCAAGTACATGGTCCACTTCACACAATTTTTTGAACTTTTCCTCCCACTCCACAGAGATTCATCCAAATTCATATCATGTATCATATCATATCATATCATGTCATTTTTTCCTCTACAACCTCTGTCTAATGCATTTCTTCCTCACTAATGTGAATCAGAGGTTCAGAAGGCATAAATTAAATAAGAGGTGTTTGAGGTTCTGCATAACCATATTCAGATGCTAGTAGGTCAGTATTAAATCTTTATTCTGCATCTGGATTCTACTTACAAAGGTAGCACGTGTTTCATTTCAGCTGGCGTGGTAAATGCTCTCTGGAACAAATAGCTCTTAAACCACATTTTTGGTAATACCTTTCCCATCATTTCATGAGGCATGTGAGATACTTTGGAAGAAAGGATTAGTGATTTGCAGAGTGAAGGTGATTTGGGGAACCACAATTCAAGTAATAGATGACAAATGGTGAAGAAAGATAGTTGGATAGCCTGTGCTTAAAATTTTGTAAAAGGACGTAATTGATTACTGGTTGTTGTATCATGCTCATTCCAAAAGTGCAGTCTGTGGAGACCTGCTATAGCATTTGCCTACAGCCTTCTAGTATTTCAGTAAAACAGCAGATCTCCTTGTCTCGATGTTTGTATCAGTGTACAGTTTGGCAATGGAGTCACCTCTTGAATGAAATTTGCTGTAAAGTACTGGTCAACCACAACTAATGTCTTCTTCCAGAAATCTTTCTGTGGTTATGAGAAGAATAGTAGTGCTTTCTACTAGCTCTGTCTGGCACAGTATCCTGGCTTTGATAATGATAAATAGTGGATGTCTGAAGGGAGAGCATAAGAAACACATATAGAGAGTTGTCCTCCTTCATACTCCTCCACCTTTCTGCCAACATCTGTGAGCAGGAGGCTGCATCACATTTAATAGTCCTCTATGGTCCTATCCTCCGTGGATTTATCTAATCTTCTTTCTAATCCGTCTACATTCTTGGCATTTCCTACATCCTCTGACATTGAGTTCTGCAGTTTTATGATAGAACACGGGATTTAATAACATGCTGAATGTTTCAGCAAATACAACGAGAACAGACAATTCACTTACTACATCTTTCTTATCATTTCATCTGCTTTCACAAGCTAGTCCTGCTCTCTCGTTCTTTGTGGTTAGTCCTTGTAATTTTGCAATTTTATAATAGCTCTAGATACAGGGTAACAAAGACTGTGCTGCATCATTCTGGATCCTGTATCACACAGCAATAAGTCCCATTACTGCAGTAATTATTCTTTACCATCCTCTCGATTATTCGGAATATAGGGAGGGGCAGCAGAATTTCAGTATCAGAATAAAACCAACACTCTGTAGGCATATAAGAACATGTGAACTTCACAGGAAAGCTTCAGTTTCTCATTTGACAAAGTAACTTGAAATAGAAACGCGTGGTGTTCAGATGAACGTTGAAATGACTTGTTCTGTTGTGCGATCTCCTTATCTCACGTGGATAAGTCCTGTGTACTTGTATTCTTCTTCCACATCAAGTAGAGACAGAATATACCCCCAAACAACTAATTCTGACCATGCATGTTTTCGTGATTGAGGATTTTGCACGATGGACTTGTGTTTATACTTAAGATTAGATTAATGGATTGCCACTTTAAAATCTGCCACTCCTCTAAAACTGAAATACTGTATTAGTTGAGCAAAGATTTTTAGCTCCTGTGAGCCTGTTAGACAGGTTTATCATTGTGGCTTATTCAGGTGATGACTTGTATTCTTGGTGAACAATGCCATAGCCAGTGTTTGTCTCTGCAGGGCCCGAGGCGCTGGGGGTTCTCTTACGGAGCACTGATGCTGGTGGTTCTTTTTTTTGTCCTCTGACTGAACACTGCAAACTTAATGTGAAGGTTTGCGCTGGTAGTGTTTCTTGTGCTAGGAGTTCGTGTACATTAATAGGCAGTAGAATCATGTCGAGACAGTATCCTTGGGTTAAAAAATCTTCTCTTACCATCGTTCTCCCTCATACTCTTCTTGCTCTTGTGGTTGTTTCCCAGAATGAAGAGGTCAGGCAAAGGTGTTTCCAGGCATTGTTAATTTATACTGTCATTGAAACAACCTTTTTAGTCTGTACCAAAAATCAGCCAAGGGTCACTGACACTGAGAACTGTGCTGGAAACTTCTCTCCTGACGTCAATCGTTGCTCATCTTTTGCAGCCTCTCAGTGGATTATCACTGTGTTTGCTTTCTCAGAGAATTAGAGCTCTTAGTGGTTTTGATCAGAACTTAAGCATGAGGCTGGAAGAGGGATGAGGGAAAGGGTGTAAGGTATTTACCTTAAAAAGTTTGTGTGACTGACATGCAAATAAATTGCAAGAGCTAAATGTGTACACCTTGGAAAGAAATAGAAACTGGTGGCAGATCGTTGTTTTGAGGTTCAAAGGATGCAGAAACTAAAGCATATGATGAACAGGTTCAGTATCCCAGAAAAAAACTTTAGCAATGGCTACCAAAACATGCATTTGTTTCTTTTCCCTTTTAAGCTTTGAGATGAATGTGCCATAATAAGGAACAATCCTGTATAACCAGAAGAATTTTTCACTGCTGCATTTTGGGATTTGTACTGAACTATGTTTCCATTGTTTGGATGCTTTTGCCTTTTTTAGTTGAGACTTGTCATGGCTGACCAGAACTTACAAGACGTAACTCTGTACCCACCTCCAAGGCAGAGCAGTCCTTCTTGGCGCCATGTCCTGTCTTTCACAGAGGTTTCCTTTCTGCCTTTTTGAGTTACTTTTGCCCAAGATAATCCAAGAGCCCTTTTTAAAAAAATCAAATATGAAGCTGTTGTCTTATATTGTCAGACGGCTGGTTGTTCACAAAGTATGTCTGTCAGTAAATGATGGTTATCCTGAAAAATGATGACTGAAAAATGGCTGGAGAAAACAGAAAGCAAGTCTGGTAATGTGGCTGAGGTCCATTAGCAAGAGTCCATATATCTTCAGTCAAGATAAACAAATTCTGCTTTTCAGTGCACAGCTTAGAAAGACAAAAATTGTTGTGATAGCGTTTTTATTTATTGTCTGAAAATAATTATTACACACTCCATCTGAAGCATCCTTTCGGTTTAAAAGGAAAAAAACAGTGCATGTAATTGATCGATCTGAAAAATGCTTAGGTAGCGTTTGTGGGTATCAATGTGTGTCAGAGGAAATTTAGGTTTAGAAAGGCTGAATAAGCAATGCTTTATTGCACTTATATCTTTTCTAAAGCTTTTGTTAAACATTTTCTCTGTGTTATTTCTGCACTTCGAAAGCCATGGTAGTTCTTCAGCCAGATATGATGTTAAGATACAGAAACATGAGAAATAAGTTGTGGAATGATCCTACAATAACAAGTCATTAAATGTATAACCATGTCAGTTGCCAAAACGAAGTCTTAAAAGCCAGGTGAACATTATCAGTCTTCTAAAATGTGACCCTTTGCTCTCCTCTTCAGTGTGAAGATTTGGTCTGTTTGCCTTAGCGTAGGTGAAAGTGCTTTTGACTCCAGCTGGAGCAAGAAACTGTTTTGTTGTAGTCTGTGGAAGAGTGCTCTAATGTCTGGGCTACCTTTCAATGTGCATATTCCTGGAACTTAAAAATACTGAAATAAATTTTATTTAAAATTAAAAAAAATGTTATTGAAGCTCAATGTAAATTTTAGTTTTCAAGCAGTCTTTCATGTAGATGACGTTCTCAAGCTGTGATTATGAGTGGCTAAAAAATAAGAGGGCAAACTATGAAAATTGGAGCATCCCTGCCAGTTTGGGTATAATTTTCATATTTATGATACAAAGGGTTGAGAGAGTTACTTCTCTGTTGAGTGTTCACTTGATTTGAAAAAATAAATTTTGATGCAGTATTGTTGGAGGACCTCATACATTACTATAAATTGTAGCTTTTAGTAATGCTACTAGGTTCTTGTATTACATGTCTTCAGTTAAAAAGTGTGGGTTTTATGCCGTCAGTTGGCTTGTGAATTTTCTTTTATTGATAGCATAGTACATACCATTCTGTGGTTGCAAGGAGGCTTGACTGTTTTCTGCAGAGGGTCAGAAGCAAAAAATTAGAAGTCTTGCTCTTTCCAGCCACTACCAAGCATAACTTCAATCAGCATGCAGTGTTGGATTGTAATTGCAGTAGGTTGTAATTGTTTGCTGCAATTGATGTAGAGTGTGTGCTGGCGTGAAGAGTAAGCCAGAGAGGCTGGACTTAAAATTCTGTTGGAGAGGAAAAGGAGGATTTCATGGTACGTATAAAAAACAAGCAGCCATGTAACCTTTTAATTTTTCAAATAATAAGCATTTTATTGTAGAGGATTAAAATAATAAAAAATATGCTATGTTATCTTTAAAGGCTAATAAAACCAAATACTCATACTAGAGAAGAAGTCAGTAACCTCAAAGTGTAGTTACTTTTCTTTATAATAATGTGGTTTCTGCCTTAGGACTTGTTCTAATTCAGACCACGTTGGGAAGATCCTTGAAGGTTCATGATGCATCATGAATCTCATGGATTGAAAGATGAGATATTTATAGCTATTTTGAGTTGCAAATGGCATTTTTTGTTCAAGCAGGAAGGGCAGCTTCTGCCGTTTAGAAAAAAAATAATAAAAATATACTGCATAGTCTTTCAGTTCCTATAACCTTGTATTAACATACATTTGTGTACCTGTCAATATTTTGCATCTGTTCTTTTACCTTGCTAAGGCGGTGTTGGTTTGATGAATGAGACGACCATTAACGGTGTGCATTTTTGCTTTGTCTCTGATCTCTGTGCAGTTATTCATAAGGCCCTTTCTGTTCCTTGCCTCTCTGCTTTAGTGTGAACAATCCCACCTAATGAGAGAGCACGAAGACGTGCAGGAGCGAACAACACTACGCTACGAGGAGCGAATCACAGAGCTGCACAGTATCATTGCTGAATTAAATAAGAAAATTGATCGGCTACAGGGAACAACAATAAGGTACAGCAACTTCCTGGAAATTCTGGGCCAATGCAAGAATGGTGTAAAACATGGTGTGAATTATACTCTAAATATAATTTGATGATGACTTTAAGGTAGGTAGACTTGTTATGACTGGTACCAAGTACCTGCCCGTAATTAAGGTATGTGTTTTGCAGAGTATCATCCCAAGGCTCAAAAGTGCTACAGTCTCTCTGGCAAAATCACACTTTGCAAAACCTAATAAGCACTGCAAAGAACTGCACTGTGCCATCTGAATATTCCTCTAGCATAACATATATGCCAGGGTACCAGATAAGTGATAGCAATGGTGGATAAAGGAAGATGTAGCCACCCAGCCTGCGCCTCTGCTTTTATTTTGTGGCATCCTACAGATCACCTAAGCCAAATCACTTGTGGCGAGATATATGGCTCAAATGGATTTCAGTAGGTTTTGCACCTACTTGTGCTGGTATTTGTGACAAAACACAATGGTACAAATCATGTTGTTGCCTGTCCTCAGAGCAGCAAAGCTTGGGGTATTACACTAGGTCATTACTTGTTACTGTGTTAAAATAAACTTTACATTTGACTACAGGAAAACACTTATTTTTCCTCACTTCCTTTTACCCGTTATGCTCAACCTAGAGAAAGTTGGACTAGAACGAGGAAGGAGCTTCTTAAAGTTTAGCTTGTGAGGATGCAACTAAACTAAAATCTATGGATTTTCTCAAGAACGTCAAATTAGATTTGACACTTTCATAGGTAATGTGGACACGGTGCTCTACCCACGTAGCAAATTTTCAGTTTTCCTTGTCTATTAGCTGCAAGGTTTTCCAAGAACTGCTTCGTTTGTTCTTCCTTGTAAACGTTTCAGTGTTGTTACAACTACTCACTTAACCTTTCATGAAAATATTTATATGCAAAAAGAAAAAGGTTTGGTGTACCATAAATAAGAGAAAGTATCATCACACATTTATACTGGTATAAAAGCAGTGATAGAATCACATTATGTTAATACTATTTAAGAAGATAAATACTGCCAACTCTGAGATGGTCATAACTAGTGATGATCATGGTGAGACTTTTCAGGTAAGTATTTTCTAAACTGGTAGTACTTCTCTGAAAAAAATCCCTGTGACTCCCTTGTTCATTCATGCTTGATACCTTTGCAGACAAACTTCCCATTCGTCTTGTTTCGAGTCACCTTTCTTTTCAGCATGATACTAGCTGCCCATCCCACCCTCCTCTCTCGTAAACCTCTACCAATTGAAAAGACTGGTTGAAAAGCAAAATCTGAGAAGCTTGAGAGCTGCATTGGTATTTTTTTCTTGAATGGCAGAAGAACTCTATGACATTCAAAAAAAATATTACATAGAATCCATAAAAGCTGTTTGTTTGGAGTCCCTGTGGCAAGCTAAATGCCAAGTGGTGTTCAATTACAAAATATTGGAATCAGGTGGATGCTGTGAATGTTTAACTGTGTCCATAAACAAGTCAGCTGTGGCATGCACAGGAAAGTGAGGCATATGAACCGAGTTTGATGGGAAGTGCATGTGGCTTCTTATGAAAAGTGCAGTTTTGCTGCCTTTTTGCAGGGTGCAGGCTTTTGAAGGCATCAGAACAATACCGCTGCAACAGGTACCACACCGCTGTCATGCCTCACCTGTTTGGTCTTACTGTATGAGAGCTCATTTTGCTCAGACGGCTAGGATGCCTCTTCTGTTTTTATTTGTTCTGGTTTTATTAGTAAGAACAAAAACATTTATTAAGTGAGTGGATTTTTTTAATTTCTTTTGATGGTTGGACGAGCTTGTTTTCTTTGGCAGGCCAGTAATTTGGTGTCTGGGGAATAGAGGAGTAATATTCCTCCTAAAAATGGCAAGCAGAGGTAGAATTGGAGGCATTCCATAACGTTTGTAAAACAACTGACAGAAGGAAAACTCATAGTTCCTGCTGTGACTTTTCTGTAAATCCGCTCTGGGATCTACTTGCGTCACTCTTGAGAAGCTGTTCCATCCCACAGAGCAAGGGTGGTGCAATTGCTGTCCTTGCTGGGACAGGTGTGACTCACAGCACCCCACCCTTGGCTTGTGGGGACTGTGAGCCTGGGAGCTGGAACAAAACAGTCCTGAGGGAAAGGGTTCTGGGAGTACGGCTCTGCTAGGGCCTTGGCATTTATACTTTCCTCTAAACCAGAATGCATGAGGGATTTTGACTTGACTGTTGGATACCTGCAAGTAATACTGAGCGGAGGCTTTACTTGCGCTATCACAAAATTTAGGCTGTCTTTCTGGAAACAGTTTTCTTGAGTTTACATTAATTGCATAACAGATAAATGTTTCCCCAGTGCTGACACAGAGATGGTTCGCTATTTTCATGTATCATTTTTAGGCTGTAAAAATAAACTAACGTGTAACTTGATGTACTGCTGCTTTATGGCATTTGTCATGGTTCCTTCCCAAAATATTCTGGAAACAATTAGAAGAAACCAGAGTTTTGTGGAGGGTATTTGACTATCCTCCTTAAGTTGTATTATCTTTAAATTTGTAGCTCTTTGTTTGAATGTGAGTAGTACCCTCAGAAAGTAGGGCAGAAAGTAAGCAGGAAGAGTGCTTAAATCTGAAGAAGGTATTGCAACAGTTTGAGGGGTGTTGGCAGGCTGTATAAGCTAGTTAATATTCTCCATTCCGAGAATTTTTCTCTCTTTGTTTTTTGGTGGTTTTTTTTTTTCCCTTGCAATGTCCGGGGTTTTACACAGCTTGAAGTGTAACGGCTTTTGCTCATGTGGTTTAGTAATACCAGCTCTAGAAGAGAGCTTAAGTCACATGTCAATGCCTGTGCCTCTCCCCAGGTATATCTGATATGCTGCTTTTAGTAACAGTAATCTTACAGGAGTATTTTTAGAAGTTTCCAGGATTGTTCTAGGTTTGCTAGCCATTTCTTGGGTACAACAAGTTCCATGTGTGTGGCCACATGATGTTAGCTGCTGCTCTTGCGCTACGTTCTTCCAGTGTTCCCTAAGGAAAATGAGATCACCATGTTTGTGGGAGCCAGCCAACATTCATCTGCAATTGTCTCATGTCCCTGCTGCTGCTCTGGACAGCCCAGCTAGTTTGAAAGCCCAACCTCACCAAAAAAAAGCTGAAATACAGCTGTAACTGATTTGATATTAACGCTAAAGAGACAGTTGCCTATACTTCTACTGTGCAAATAGACGAGCCTCTTGCTTGCCTAGTTCTTCGTGTGTGACAGTGCAGAATTTACCCACTACCAGCTCAAGAAGGTAGCAATTTGGGAGCAAGAAGACACTGAAGAAGTGGTCCACTAGGATGAGGATGGTTTTGTTGTTTTTTTTTTTTTATTTGAGCAGTCTGGAGATATAAACCTTGGCTCTGTTTTTTCTTGGAGAATTATAACTGTGTGACAGTGTCTCACTGCTCTTGTCTACATTATTAGGGAGAGAGTGGGAGGAGGTGGCTAGTATTTTGCTTAAGTTCATGATAAAACTCAATTCACGGGCTTTCGTCAAACTGCAAGACTGTTGGGCAGAAGAGCCTGTGATGATTGTGCAGCACACGTTTTGTCAGCCTCTTTTACAGTGAACAGCTTTCACTGAGTGGTACTAGCTTGGCGTTCCTGTTAGCATGTCGAATGGATGCCAGTAGCAGTGCTCGCTATTTGATCAAGTTTTTCTCAGTGTCTGTGCAGCAGTTGTCATCCTTGGTTGCACCCAAACATGAGAAAAGCCATAAGTGAAGACATACCTGTAAAACACACTTTTTTGCTCCAACATTGATCCCAGGCCACTCTGTGATCTCGATCACTCTGTGATCAAGAACAGCTTGATCTGGTCTTTGCTGCCTCCAACTCACCATGACATTCCAGCAACTGGGAACTGTCAGGGCCCATAGGAGAACAACTATCTGCTTTCTCCAGCCAGGCCCTAGATGATGGCAGCAACAAGGAAACGGTAATGCCTCTGCCTTCCGGGTGGTGTGGCATGAGTTCAGTGGCTAGCCATCATCAGCTGCTGAGCACCTTGCATTTCCAATGCCACTGGAAGACTCTTCTGTTTTGAGGAAAGAGGAGTCTCAAACAACATCTTCTGTTACTGCCAACTTCAGTTTTAAAGACAGAATTTATATTTGTGGTGCATCACTCCCCTCAAATTTCCCCTTGTGTTTTTAGCCCCCTGTGAGACTGGTGGTGGAGAGACCGATTGACCTTGCTGTCGTTTTACCAGAAATGGATTTCTGATCTTTCTGGTCAGCTATTAGAAGCATTAGTTCATTCAGAAACTGACTTCTGGCTTGAACCATCGGAAGGGTGTCCGTCCTGCCATGTGACATACTTTTCAACTGCCCCAAGATACTGAGGGTGCTTGAACCCAAAAAACAGCACTAGTGCTAGCTAGATGAAGCTGTGTTGGATTTTAAACAGAAAATCTATGCAGCAAGAGCCAAAAAAAGAGTGGTGAGAAATTATTGTGTGTGACATTGTTTTATGATCAATACAGCCTCTTGTCCATTTGTAGAGGTAGTTCAGGTTTTAAAAATGTAAGGACTAATTGTTTCATAAATGAAAAAATGAATTACCCTCAGATCAAAAACATGCAACTGTTTGAGTGTTTGGCAATTGTTTTTGTCTAAAGCTAATTACTACTGGCTTGTGCTGTGGCTAATAGTAAACGAGTTCACGGAACATTAACTCACACTTATGTGTCTTCGTTACACTGTTCTAATTCCTGCTATTCATAATTTAGTTCTCACACTTTCTTAAACATGTATTGCATCGTTCATTAAAGACCTTTCTTTGATCTAAATCTCAATTTTAACCAGCTGACCTGCATTGTTGTTTAATAATAGTCACTAAGTGCTTCTGATAGAGTCAGACTTTCTTTGCACTGAAGCAAATGTAAGGGGTAGAAGAGCATAATAGTTCCTGTAGAAATTACATCTCAGTACCTTGGGAAACCCTGCTTGGCAAGCAAGCTGAAATTCCTTTTCTGAGTTGGCCTGGTTCATAAATTGTCACTTCTGCTACTTTGAGAGCAGACTTGACTTCTGTCATTGTTCCCGGTATGCATGGGCCATCTTCTCTGCTGTTTTGCCTGGCAAATCCAGACACACCTCCAGGCTAAATCCAGCAATATTTCTGCAAGAAACACTCATCACCATGTAGCATACACACAGAAGACTTAACATTACAGATGCCCCTCCCAGATGCAGATCCCTGGATAGCTCTTTGCTATTTCTTATTGTTTCCAACTCCAGACAGTTCCATTCTCACACTTTTCTGCTGAATCTGCAGCAAAATTAATCTCTGCGTTTGATTTAGTGTGTAACAAAAGCATGGCTGTTTGCTTACTTATCAGAAGGCCTCTGCACCTGGATAAGCTGGTGTTTTTCTCATGTTTAAAATACATACTTTAATGTCAAAACAGTCACTATGGAAGTTAAAAAAAAAAAAAATGAGTTGAATCAGCAAGTGGATCAAAAGAAAAAATGTTTACCAGTGTTCTCAGGCAAAGCTATTATTCATTTACTTATCTTCCTTCCCAGTACTTTGAACTCTTCGTGTGTAGACAAGAGGGAAAAGCCCTAATTTTTTAAGCTCATTAGCTTTAGTTAAAGTATTCTGTGTCCTCAATTTTATTAGTAGAACCAGCTTGACAAATAAGTTAAAACCTAGGAAACTGAGGCTTTTTATTTTCCACTAACTCCAGCAGTTCAGTGCTCTACTCACTTATCCGTTCTCTTTGTTTTGAGAAGAGAAAATGAAAAACCTACCTGTCCCCAAGAGCATTTTGATACACATATGCAGGTATGCGCATCTGCACGCTTGCGTTGCACACAAGCCGATGGCATCCTCCAACTCAGACCAAAATTGGTTATTGCTAATCCACTTAGGGATCAAAAGCCACTTGGGCTGATCAAGAATTGTCAGTTGGGGAGTTATTGCAGGGCAGCGTATGTCCTTCTTGCACACGTCCTTGCTTGCATTCAGTTCCACCCGTTGTTTCCTTGTACAGTGGTCTGTAGTAACAATGAACTGAGGAATAAAGAAATGGCAACCAGGCACTGGCTGCTGCAAGTGGATATTATGGGCATAGCACATTTGCTTTGCAGTAAAGGTTATAAACTCTTCTCTACTGGCTGGATTAAACACTTACACTTGTGTGGATTGTATCCCGTGGGTCAGCTTACAGGTCTGAAGTAAGTGTCACAGAGATACATATTTCCTCAGAGGATTTTATTTCTGCCTTTGCTCTCTCTCCCAGGGAGGAAGATGAGTATTCAGAGCTACGGTCAGAGCTCAGCCAAAGCCAGCATGAGGTTAACGAAGACTCACACAGCATGGACCAGAATTCTGTTTCGGTACCAGAAAATCAGTCCACCGTGGTCACTGCAGACGTGGGTGAGTTATACTTATTAGTAGACATAATGCCTTCTTGCAGCAGAAAGGCATCATAGCATTTGAAATGCAAATCCAAATGTTTTGTCAGGAAATAAATGAATCTAGGCTGTGTTAATCACAACAAATGCTGAACTTCTCCACAACTATGAACTTACATGTGAAGAAACCTCTGTGCCTTGATGTAGCATAGCTATGGAGTCTACAATGAAAAGATTGTTCAGGGTAGCTCATGACTTTTGAGAAGGAAGAGGGAGAAAAAGCAATTCACATACCTTACGTGTGCCTGCAACGTAGTCTAACTCTAGAAAAGAGTTGGAGACAGAATAAAAGTTGGGGGGAAAAGCATGGGGAACAGAACTGTCTGTACAGTTCTTTTACAGCCTAATTATAAAGGACGTCTGCACTTTTTGAAAATTCAGAGCCTTTTAAAGTATGGAATAGGGATAGCTTACTGAAACGGATTTAGGCAAGGATAAATCTGACACAAGCTGTTCAAATACAGTGCAAGGAGGGAGCACCTCCAGACAGTCTGTAACTAATTTTTTTGGTTAAGAACTAAGAGGGCAAGTATCCTTCTTTCAGAATTTCATTTATTTTGTCATTCAAGCACAATTACTGATCATTTGAAGAACCTTCAAGTATGGAATAATTACTCCATAAAGTTTGCAATATAAGCATGAGCAGATACCAGGCCTTCAGTATGAAAATGTTTTAAGTGTTTGGGCACAATTACTGCGCACCGTAGCTGTAGACTAGCAGAAGTCTGGTGTAATCCTCACTACAATTTCCAGAATTCTCTTCAGAATACTATTTCTCTGTATTTAAAACCAAGTAGTTGATCTTCATTTTCTTCCCTAGGTAAACTAACTGGGTGCCTCGGAGCTTCTGTGGGTGGTACTGTACATAAGCAGTGTTTTAGGAAATAAGCAAAATAGCAGTCTTAAGCCCTATTGCAGAACTTGGGATCCTTGAATATTAAGCTGTTAACTCTACATGAGGCTTTGATGGTTGTAATGCAACATGCAATCTTTGCTTCTGTGCATAAGAAACCGTATTAACCCAGTTCGCACTTGTTTGGAGCACTGCACTTCATTATTGAGAACTCTTTGCTGTTTTTTCCAGTACAGTGCCTTTTAGAGGAATGGACCTGAGAGTAGGCTGACTTTGGGGCATAGTATTCATTGCCCTCAAGTGGAGTTTAATAATGTAGAAAACATGTTGATATGGTAAGCAACCATACAAAAGAGATTTTCTGTATGATGTCTTGAACTGAAAGGAATACACCAGCTCTGGAGCTGTATTTGTTTATAAATCAAAGCCCTGCCACAGAACATTTGTGTTTCAGTGTCTTTAATTTCTAGAAACATTGATAGAACAATATTAATAATAATGTAATCACAAAGTATCTGACAAACAGTGTCTGAATTCGAAGTATACTTAACAATGTTGTATGGAGTCAAGATATTTTAGCAGAGTTTTTTATATTCTTAAAAATGAATGTTTTTACTTTCAAAAGTTAATGCTTATTATTAAGTTCCTACTTGAACAGGTTTTAACATGAGGACTTTTTTTTCCTTTAACTTTCTTTCCTTTTTTTTCTCCTTTCTTTTGACAAAAAAAAAATCAAACTAATTTACTTTTCAGCATTTATTTTGGGGTTAGGGATTTGATTTTGTTCTTCATGGGGTGGAGCTGAAGCAGGGTTTGTGTACATTAGCAGCAAGTTATCCGTTTACATTTCTGCTAACAGTGGGAAACATGGCAATAAAATTAAATACAACCACGGACAAAATAAGAATGGTAACTCTGAGCATTCTTGCATTTTTTCCATGTTTTCCTTCTGTACATAGACTCTGTCCTTTTTGGGTTTTGTTTCCATATTCCTGTGAAAATAAATCCTTTTGTGTATGTGTGTGTGTGTGTGTACACACACACATATATATAGACAAATATGTCTATATATATAGACAAATATGTATATATTTTTATATCCTTCTAGATAGAGGTATATAAGAATAAAGAATCATGACCTAATAACCATGTGCATGACCTTGTTTACTGCCCTAATGGAATGAGCATCAGTGACTTACTAAAACCAATAATATGTCTTGATACACTAATGCATGTGGATATGCTGCTCTATTGCTACAGACAATAAAACACCAAGAGCTAAAACTGTGAATGCTCTCCAGTATGTTTTGCAGAGCTTGTGATTGGGTTATATTGGTTTTCTGTGAGAAATGGTGTTCTCATTATAGTAAAAGCTTATTTTCTGGGGAAAATATTATTGTAGGAACAAAATGCAGCATACAAGGTCTTGTGAACATTGTTTAAATGGACAAAATGTCTGTTTTAGAAGATGCTATGGAAATAAATAAATTCAAGCAAACAAAATACAGGTTTTTTTAATTAAGCGTCCTGCATGGTATATGCTGCTCATAAGTGAGTGTTATAAAGAGATCGTTGGTATTACTACAACAGATGGGTGGCTACTAGTCAGGAACTAGTGAATATGACTTCACAGTAAAGTTCTGAATGTGTTGCCCATTCACATTTTTCATACAATACTGTGACATCATTCGAAACTCTTCTTTTTGGTCAGCAGTAGGTTCATGTTTATGTGCATTAGGCTGTGGAGTTAGATTTGTGGTAATGAGTGTACAGCTTTTTACTTTCTGATCATCTCATCCCTTCATCCAACCACTTTCAGTCTTCTCTTGCATAGAGACATTTCAAGGCAGTCTACAACAATCTGGTGCCTCATGTCTGTTAAATTTCAGACACAGTTCAATGCCACACTACTTTAGTCCCCTATAAGAACGACAGCTATGAGGCTACTAGGGAATTCTGACCATGATGAAACGCTTGCAGGAGTAGTATAGAAATAACACCCTCCAGCAAGTATGCCTGCCACTGTTTTTAGTAAGATATAGGAACTGCTGGTGCACTGCTGTCTCATAGTGTGCTGTGCAGTTGGTAGTTATTGCAAACTCTTAACTAGTAAGCCAGAAATACTAACTAGCACATTCGAGAGACAGCACAACGGTGAATTTAACTGTGTGTCTGCCTTAGGAACTGCCAATCTCTGTTGCCAGATGTGAGCCTAAGAAAAATGAAAATCATGTATGAAGTGAGCTAGCAAGGTACTGAGACCCACTTGTTTTCACAGAAATGGAAGACTCTGTGGCAGTGCCTAAGGCACTAGAGGAGCTTTGCCTAAAGACAGAAAAGGAAGTGATTCTCTGCCACTTTTTATAATTAAGATAGTGTTGTTGTATATGCTGCTAATATGGTTGTAGTATGGAACACAGCAAAGAACAAGGTGTGCTGTTATGATCCCTCAATATTCTGTAGTTGTGTTTGGATAAAAAATAGCTATAAAAATGAAACTTAGGCTCTAAGATAGTGGTAGGGATCATTTCTGTAAACACCAGGATTTTTTAAATTAGGCAATGCCTAAGTACAACCACAAAAATTCCTCTGAAAAATGTCAAGTCGTAATGTCAATGAATGTACCAGGCAGGAAAAAAGGTTGAATTTACAGAAAAAAACCTTTGAGAGTAATAAAATCAGGATAATAGGCCCTGAATGGCAAAAAGAATAACAAAAAGGAAGTGGCATAGTGTGTGAGCATGTGGTGTCTTAAAATGTTGTCCTTCAGAAAAGAGAGGTTTTTGAAGAAAGAATGAAACTTCAGATAAGTAGGGGGAGTGTTATTTATCAGATGAGAGGTAACTCATGATTTCAGCTGATGTGGTTACAGTATTTAAGCCTATCAGGTGGTGAGGAAAAAGTGGCAGATTGCAAGGACTTTCCTTGAACGATATCAGTCCTAGCTGTTCTGCAACAGGCGCTTCCTGGGTTAGAGCTTGTTTTTTCACTGAGGCACTAATTGTTGCAATATTTGTTTTGTTTTGCTTTCTGTTAGATAACTGTAGTGACTTGAATTCAGAACTGCAAAGAGTGCTGACAGGTCTGGAAAATGTTGTCTGCGGGAGGAAGAAAAGCAGCTGCAGTTTATCGGTAGCAGAAGTGGATAGACATATTGAACAACTCACTACCGCCAGCGAACATTGTGATTTAGCCATTAAGGTAAGGGTAACATTTCTAAATGCAGCATGTACATTGCCTGAGACACCTGATCACATCCTGTAGTAATAGCATTTTACTTCCAAAGGTATCAAAGTACTTCACAGAAATCAGCTCCAGCTCGCGGTGTGTGTTGGGTAAGCAGTAGTACACCTGTTTTACACTGAATTCTCCAAGGCACAGGAGGACCTACTAGTAGACTTTCAGTCTCCAATCAGAAACGTATTTGTCTTATGCTCCTTTCAGAGATAAGAGAAACAGGGGCACTCAGCAGTTAATTTACTTTCTGAAGGTTATCCAGCAAACAACTTGTCACTTGCCCAAAGTCACACAACTAGTCATTGATGGGTAGCTGAAAACACAGTATGTAATACTCGCTGAAATTCGAAGATAAAACGCCACAAACTATGCATAAGTTGTGACTTTGCTGTCTTAAAATATGAAGCTAGTATCTAACACAAAGCATGTGTGGTATATTAATTCTAATGAGACAAGCCAGACACAGGAACAAATAATTCAACTGATACTTGTATGTCTTGGTTTTATTGTGCATGTAACAGAACAAGCAGACGGATGCCTGATAGCACGTGTAATGAAGGGATTGCAGTTCAGAACCTGAAAGTGAAGGAACCGTAGAGTATCTCAATCGACAGGG